GATTTTACAGTAGCCCTATTAGATTTAATCATATTATAATTCAAGCATCAAGTTTCATTTTTTTTACTTATGTCTAAACACTGATAATTCAGTTTAAATGCTTTCAGTAAAAAAAATTATTTAAGAATTCTTATTTTTAAACATATTATAACTAGAAGGATAAGAAATTAATTTACTTACCTCCCAAGAAAACTATATTCTTCAATAGAGAATCCAGTTTCATTTCATAAAATATTTTTTCTGAGTATGTTGTCTAAATAGGAGTGAAGTCTTTATTTATATTTAATTTATTATTATTTAGTATTAAATTAATATGAATATATCATATATTTAGAATGCAATTTTTTTAACAAAATACTTGAATTAACCTCTTCAATGAACATTTAGCTATTTGAATTAAAGTTTTACACAAATGATTAAAAATGGTCCTGCCTGTTCTATCTCACAAATCATATAACTGATATTTATATCCACCAACAAGCAGAAAAAGTTGTCAAACATTTCTTATTCATTTAATTGCTATGTTGCATGTAGATCTGATAAAGTAGAATGAACAACAGTAGTTAGTGATGATCTCAAAATATCTGATGCCAGGTGAATGGTATAACGCTTGACAGACATTGATTCTTAGTTATTCATTTTCAAAACATCTATGATATTTTTAACATTACTTAGCTTTTGTGTATCCAATGTAGACAGTAAATAAAAGACTTTTCTAATGGTAATTCTCCATCATGATATAAGAATAGACCTTTTTATACAGCAAACACATGAACAGAAAATAACCAAACCGCATACACATATACATAAAATAATCTTACATGTTATAAAGTCATTGTCAATAGCAATATTATCCCCATTTAGTAATATTATCTACAAAAAAATGAAAATTATTATTAAAAGTAACACTTGATCTGTAAAGATGTCACTGTATCAGAAAAATACATATCTTTGATAAGGATACTTGTCTTTTCATGTATTGTTGTTAATGGGGTGAGCACCTGTTTGAGGTTTACAAAAAGGCTTGTGGTTCTAGTATAACTGATAACTATGCATTGCAGGAGCAATTGTCAATGATAAAGATTATTAGATAAAGAATGCTGTTACAAAAAGATGATTTCTATTGAGTAGAGATGCTAATGTTTATATAATCAGTGTAGAATTGATATAACCAGGAACAATTTTTATGTGCTAAGTTTTAAAATTATTATATTTTACATATCACTTGTTAGATATTTTATTTTATTTTATTTAGTATTAAGTGCAAATTTCTAGCTCACTTAAATATTTCTTATTTTGTAGACTTTATTTAGGATAAACAGTTAGTGGTAATTTTCATATCACTTTTCATTATTTCTAAATAAAAAAAAAGAAAAAAGGAAAATGGTTATTTGCTGTAAAAACAAATTTATTATTTTTATTATTCATGGATTTGCATGTTTACACTAGAGGTTAAGACAGCCTCATGAAATATCTAGCATTCTTCTTAATATCCAGTAAGGCCATAGGTTGTACAGTCTCATACCTTCCTTGAATGTATAACTCATTTAATCTCAATTCTAGTGCTTTTGCTATGATTCCAAATTCACCTACTATTATGAGTATGAGTTGAACCCTCATATTCCTTATCATTCTCAGTTCCTGGGCAAGGTTCTGGCATTTTACCAAATTTTGGTTAGGCTAAATGTTCAATCTGTGGTCTATTACTACAGCCACAACCACAGTCTACTAAGTTTTTGTTTATTTATTCTTTATCAGTTGTAGTATTTATTTATTATTGACTCTTTTGCAATTCTTTAAACATTAATAAGGTATGAAAATTATGCATTTCATAATTTTGAACTAGTCTTTTAAAAAAAGTGGTTCTTTCTACAAAGGAAAAATAGAAAAGATAGTAAATAAAGCATAATCTGTTCATTAGTTTATTTTTCGGAATTTGTAGTAGTAATTACCATTGGTAAATGTTCTCACCAGTAGCCATAGTCCTTGCCATTGGCAAATATTCTCACTTGTCATAAATAACTAGTTTGCTGCAAATCACTAGAAATAACTCATATCGCTGCAAAGTGACAAAAATTCTGCCTTCAGTGAAATAACACAATGCATTTATTTCATTGGAATGTCATTCATTGGTTGTTTCAGAAAATTTGCATACATTGTGACCTCCATGTGTATAGGTCTCAAAAAATATGTGCTCAGCTTGCTCAATGACAACAAGCCAACTCACAGGCTACATGGTGCCACTTTTGGGTGATTTCATAAGTTTCCCCCCTTTCATTTTCCAGTGATCTGATCACAGTAGTGGCATATAATTTACTGTGTCACTCCAGTTCTCTATGATTTCACTTGTTTCATTACTCTACGAGTCACCCACATAGCAAAGAATGTCCTTTTGAGCTTCTTACACATAGAGAAAGTGCATTATTATGTTGATGCGCTTTGACACTTGACACTTCTTTGCTTCCACTACTGACTGCCATTTTTTCCCATACTTCCAAGTCCATTACTTTGGTACCATCTAAATGTTCAGAGTTCATGCAGAAACAGATTGAAACATAATAAGCACTTCCTGACATATGTTGCAAGTTCAGTATCCTTGATGATACTTATGTCATCAATGTATACCAATGTAGCTCTTTTTATTGACACATTAATGATGGAGCTCATTATCACTGGTACCATGTTGAGACTGAATCCCAACTGTGTTAGGCAGTGCTTCCTCTCTTTGACCATTGATGTGTGGGCTCACAACTGCAGATATGCTTTTTAAGATCTAGTATGGACACTTTTAATCCCTGTTGATGGCACTCTCTCAATTTGACTGTCTTAGCTGTGAGCATATCAAATGGCTATTAAGCTCCTGATAGACCATCATTGAACTTTATGCTGATCCATTTCCTTCAGTAGGATGAAACCTTTGGGAGATCCAAGTTTCCCCTCATACCCATTGTCTATCCAGCATTGGCACTCATACTCATAATTGCCCCTGATTTATTTGGACATGAAGTACTCTGACACCCTATTTTGCAGGTTTTCTGGAACCTGATCTGACCATTTCTCATATTATGGTTCAAATGTTCTTAGGTTGATCAAACTAATATCAGGCTCATATATCCAAATTGCTGCATACACAGGTACTTATTTGTGTGGAAACTGTACTGTATTTAACTGCATAATAAAAATATTATCCAGCACTTTGTTCACATTAATCCCAACAGACTGAACCCCAATGGCTTTTTGATTATCACCACATCCACATCCTTCTTTGTCTATAAATGGTACATCTTCTTGCTCGCAACCAAGCAAAAACATCTTAAATCTATTAGAGTTGTGCCTTCCTTCCTATTAACTTTCTAACACTTTCGCCCCAGCCCCTCAGCCTCCGACGTCTTACTCTGTGGGTTGAGGTGTCTACTCAGTCCTAAGTGAACTTAAGTGAGTGGCCATAGGTCCCCTGAGCATCTGTAGATTATTCGACCGGTCCACTGGTTTAATCATGCTTCCTGCCCACGTTGTGTTTGATTTGATCCAGAAAGCAGAAGTGATGTTCATCCATTCACGGTCGACTGAAGATGTAGACACGGCTGGAGAGTCTGTGCTAAGAAATTTAGAATGCAGCAAAAAAAAAATCAATATCTGCAGAAAGCCGGACAACCAACTATTCAATGATTGAAGTGTTAATGTCTTTTATATAGCAGAAAAGAATAGTATAGAAAAAAAAATGGTTACTCTCTTCCATCTGCCTCTTCTGTCTCAACACTTGCCTGTCTGACTCTTCTGTCTTTTTCACCATAACTACGTGTTTATATAGAAAAATCCAGCTGGTTACAACTGAACCTTGGCCCTGCTATTTCGCATGTGATTATCACGGGGTTTTGGCTGTTTCAACCAAAATCATGTGAATTCAAAAGTTCCTTCTAGCTTACTCAGCTTTATTTCAATTTTTAATCGATAAAAATTATTTCATACATTTCCATTGTCTTCTGATGACCCAGATTCAATGAGTACAACTTCTGGCCTAGATCAAATTTTCCCATCAGTAAACAAAATGCTCTGATGATCGATATTCAAATCCATTCCAATTTCACTAAAAAAAAAGTGTGTGTGTGTGTGTGTGTGTGTGTGTTTACCAAACTCTCTCTTTCATAACTTGAACCTTGATTCCTGGCACTGATGTCTTGTCCTTTAACTCATTTCCCAGCAGTCCCATGACATGTGGCCAAAGTCTTGACATTGAAAACAGTATATGTTTCTGCATGTTCTTTGTTCTCAACATTTTACCATTCCTTCTTGATTATTCAGTTATTTACCATGAGAAAACTCAAAGGACCTGCCTGACATGGTCCTGCAATCTTGCAATGAATGCACAGGACAAACCATATTCAGGCATGCCACCAAACAGAACTAACAACTTTTGCAACCCTGCCAAATATACATCAATAGACTCTACTGGATTCAAGTGCCATGCTATGAAATGTTTGTATGCTACAAAACAGTCAGTGGCAAAAGCTGTTTATAGGGCACTCATTATGGGTTAACATTATTTCTCTCCTCTTCACTTAACTGCTGGTCGACTGCAAATGTACCATTTGTCAGTTACAATGAGAATTCTTGTTTGACCTTCTTCACTGCACTTAATTTACTCACTAACTCACCACCTTTCTCAGTTCATTCAATAATACATTGATAGGAATATGATCTATCAAACTCCAGTATAAGTTTCAAGTTGAATTTGTTACACATCATATTTCAAAACTACTTGTAGCCATTAACTTCTTTGCCTATAGTAATAGCTTTAGCCATTGGTAAAATTTTTTGCCAGTAGCAATAGTCCTTGCTAGTGGTAGTAGCCCTTGCCACAAATAAATAGTCCACTGTAAATCTCTTATCTCTGCTTTCAGTGAAACAGCAACAGACTTTTATTCCATTAAGATGTCATTCATTCATTGTCTTTAAAAAATTTGCATATATTATTATTGTGTATTTAGCTTAAAAAATGGATGCTCAGTTCACACAACAATCAGTGTAAATATACTACACAGGGCAGCTACTTTTCCTGTTGGGTGAGTTTAAAAGTTTCCTTTCTAAAAAATTAGTTGCAAATATGTCTTTATGCAGTAAGCATTTGGAGATGTGTGCATTAATCATATTTAAAATAGTTTGTAAAATTAATGTAAAAATTTTATTCAATGCAAAACTGTCACAACTTCACAAAAACAAAATAAATGAAGATCAGCAGTTTCAAAAAAAGTGTATCAATGCAATTTGTTCTTTACTGGGTCAGGGTAGTTGGTCAAGACTGTTCTAGGTCAAGGTTGTATGCCATCATGAATTAAACAGGATATTGCATATTCACTGCTTTCCTTTACAGAAAAAATAATTTAAGATATTTTTCTTAGTAAAGAACCTTCTTTTCTTCAAACAGACCAGAATTTCTTTTTAGCTAGAATACTTCTAATCATTTTGTTTTTTTTTTTGTAAGAAAATAGACTTTCATTCTACTGTAATTTTGATTGAAGTAAAATAAAAGTGTATTTTTTATTTTTGGAAATAAAAATGCTCAATTTTATGGTAGTTATATAAAATTGTGAATGAATCATTTATATACACATTTTGTATTATGTAAGTCATTGTTCTCAATAAAATTAACCAACCAATGTTGGGAAGATTTTCAGGACATGCTTATAGTTCTATAATAAATGTAATATATGCATTTCAATATATTTAATATATTTTTATTAAAAATATTTACAATAATTTATTTAGTAGTATGATATTTTATTATGTAACACAAGAGTTGTTCATCATATTTCAAATAAATATAATGGTGTAGTTATTGATATTTCTTTAATTTCAGAAATATAAAGGTTGCCATGCATTGTAACAAAGATATAACTTCAAAAGAGAAGCAAGATATTGCAAGCTTTTTAGTTTTTTTTAAACATTTCACTCCATGCAAGGTGAGAGTGCCACTAGTATGCAAGGGGCTAAAGTGAGTGAAAATAAGTATTTGAGGAAAGGATAAAAAGAAGAACAGGGACCAAGGCATCATTTAAATTTTTGAAGATTATAGTTACTAGGGAAGCATGTAAGAGGAAGGGAGTTGTACTGTCAGGAAGTATGAGAGAAGAAGCTTTTGGAATAGAAGAAGCAGTTACATTTAACTGTTTCAGCAGTAAAAGGGTGGGACCGAGATGCCAACCTAGTAGCATGCTTAAATTTATTCAGTCAGGGCACCAGTGAAAATAGCCCATCAGAGCAGATGCCATGAAAATATTTATAGAAAAGACAGAGGGAAGCCACATTATGTTAATGAGAAAATGACTGGAGTTGAGACCCCATGTGAGGACCAATCACATTGCATATCCGTCTTTGGATTTTGTTAAGAACCTTGAGATTAACAGCGGGGGTACCAGACCATATATGGCAGCAGTATGCCATGCATGAATGAGACCAAACAAAGCAGAAAGCATATTGTTCGTCAGAGACCAGATCATGGGAGGTGAGATGCTAACTACTTTGCCAAAGTGTGGTAGAAGACTGATGGGACAGTAGTTAGATGGGTCAGAAGGGTTTCCAGAGTTCTTAAAGACCAGGATGACAGAGGAGGACTTCCAACAGGTTGGAAAGCAAGAATTGGTGAGGCAATAGTTGTATAGTTTGGAGAGAACTGGAGCCAGCTTAAAGGCACATTCCTTTAGGACTATGTCTAAAAATACCATCGATGAGGTTATACACATCTCACTCACTATAGTCTCAGTTCTAAGGGGAAAATCAAGTTTGGGTACCCCGGATCAGTTGTGTGTTGAGTTGGATGAGAACTAGCAAACTAACAAAGCATTTAGCCTTATCAGCTGAGGATGTTAGGACTTCGAATTGATTGAATAGAGGAAGGATTGAAGATTTGCTGTAGTTCAGCACACTCTTGTAGAGCTGCCAATAATCTTTAGAACTAAACTTGTGAGATGCTATATGCTGTCTCATTCTATCAGCAAACAGTAACTTTGCTTCATTGAGGATACACTTGCACTCATTATGAGCAGAGACAAAGAGACATCTGTTGCAATCAAACATGTCACTCCAGTACAGATGAAAGAAGTGATTCCTGTGGGCTATATCAGCTGAGCAAGCATCTGAGAACCAAGAAGATGAGTGCAATTTAATTTGGTATTTTCTTGCTGGGATGAAAACCTTGATGCCAGCTTTAAACCAGGAGGAGACCTCAGACACACATTTTTGTACAAGATGATTAAAAACCACATTCCAGGGGACGTCATGAAGGAAATTATTATAAGTCCCAGTTTGCACATTGATAACAGAAAGATATTCTGTTAGTAGAAGGTTCAATGATGGATAGGGAGTGGAAGATGTTAACAGATACCATCGTATGATCAAAGTTGCCAAGAAGTGATAGAAACAAATGCTGGAAATTGTAAGAATACTGAAAATATATCAAAGAATAATCAACAAAAATTGAAATATCTGAACAAAAGGAAAAATAACTAGCATTATAATATTACCAAAAGAGATTTGAGAAAAATTAAATGAGTAATAAGCAAGAAAAGTAGATTGACCAGCAACACCATATTTGAAAAACTAGTGAATGTAAACAGATTGAAAAGATATAGAATATTAGGGATATTGGATAAAAACAGGAAAACAATCAAACTACCACCATTAAACAAGCATCACAAAGAGAAATGTGTAAGTGAAGAAGCCCATGAATGATTTCTCAGCAGTATATTTTTGTGATGAATGTAGAGTTGCCTTGGATGACTTTGATGGCTGGACTAGAGTTTGGGGTCTTTCATAGAAATACTCAATCAACATGACTTAAACAACAACAGCAGAGATATTGAATAATGTATTGGGAGAGTATTGCAGACAGTAAAATTATAGATCCCTTGAAAATTGAAGATAAATGCAAAGAATAATTGTAAGTTCTTGGAAAGTATGTGGTATAGGTCACAATAATAAAAGTTTAAATTGAAAAGCATATTCATGCAAGATGGTCCTCCTTCACATTCTGCAATGCTGACTATTTCCCACTTTGCCAAAAGAAAAAGTTTCAAAGACATCAAATTAATAGAGTAGTTCCCAGTCTCTTCAGCTATTAATTCAACATTAAAAGGCATGTATTAAAGAATGAAAAACAATATTCAATCAAAGATCTCCAGGAAGCAATAAAAACTGCTGCAAGTACTGTAAGGGTTGGTCCAGTAGAAAAGTTAACAAAACCAATGAATAAAACATTGATTAAGGTTATAGATTATCAAAGAACCTATATTAACATGTAAAATAATTTATTCAGATATATGGGATATTGTATTAATCAAATATGCCTTTTGGAATTATTTATAAATTAAAATTTATATTGAACTTAAGAGGTTGTTTGGTTAATAAAACCTTATATCTCCAAAACAAATTATTATTAATATGTTAATATATCTACTAAGGTTAAATATTATAAGATGAAACCCCACTCTTATATTACTCATATGAATATATCCTGATAATTCTACAAACATTAGTTAAAACATTGTCTTGCCAAATAAAATCTGAAATAATATATTTACTGTCTTGACTAGTATATTTGTAGCTCTTCTTTAACTATATAAGCATTCTCATTCCATCAAGTAGCAAACTACTTATGTTCTTTCCATTTCAGCAAATGATCTGACCTTTTAGTTGCCAGTAAAAACTCTTATGAATATTTTTGTTTAAGCAGAAGCAATTTATATAAATTTATTATTTGATTTTTTTTTTACCTCATGAATTACTATAAATAGATAAGTTAAAAAATCAAAATCTTATCCTTGTATCATTGGTACAAGCTAGTATCTTTCATTTCTATTCTTTGCCACGATCAAATTATTTTCATAAAAGCAAGAAATAATCCTTTTCTTTATAATTAGTGTTCAGGAATATCAAAATTATGAAACACGATGATGCTCAAATTACATGAAATCTGGTACCAAGTCAGATTTATTTGCATTAATTGTTTTTTTTTTATGTAAAGATCAAACTGTATATATGTTGTGTGTATAGACAGTGTCCATGATTCACTTGTTCTGTTTGGATGAAAAAGAAATTATTTGTCTACTTCTTTCCTTTGTGATTTGTATCTATGAGAAAATCTATTGATTTTGGTCTGCAAACTGTGAACACTCTAAGCCATTGTATTTTTGTAAAGTTTGACATGGGTTACCCTTTATTGAGTCAGTTGAATGAGAATTGTGGATGAAGATATGTTTAGATATTATGTCACTGTTGCATATATTTGTGTATAGATGTACATATTAAGTATGTGCATATACAAATTTTTTCATACATACTTGTATATATATTTATGGTCATGTTTAATTTACCTATCTCTGCTCACATGACATCGCTATTATTTCACTTTATATTTTTCAATTTTGCTTATTCTTAACATTCTTTTTAAAAAATAATACAAAACACATTTTGTTGTATTATTATGGTGGTGGAAATCAAAATATAAAATGATCTACACTCTTTTATTTCCTTATGAAATGTTGAAATCTTTCAAATATATTAAAATCACATTTATTCATTATACTTGAAAGCTATCCAGTAAGTAAAGTTAGAAGTTTTATATATAGCTACATTGAATGCATTCATTATGCAAATATCCAAACATGTTTTTGCTTATTTTCAGCTGCAAAATAATTAATTTGATCACAAGGTGCAAAATCTGTTTAAAGCTGACCATGTTATTAAATATTTAAGATTATTGTTCTTTCATTATGACCACTTGTCCATCTTGCAAGCTTTTGATACATGTGATCCTAAGTAAATGTTTCATGCATGGTGTTCAGTTAATAAGATGGTAATTGTTCTTGAATTTAACTGTAATATGAACAATCAATGTTTGAGTAGGTTCAAAAAGATTTTATCTGTTTCAGGTTAGCCAAGAAAATGCCTCTTCCACTTTTTAAAGATTAAGTTTTAATTATAAAACAAACCTTACTAAATTTGTTGTAGGATTTAATTTTTATATTTTATGGCTATTATATTCTCCTACTGAATTATCATTTTTGGA